ACACACACACACACACACACACACACACACACGTTAGAAACCATGTTGGCAGAAAGGACATTTCTTAGGCTACTGGGCCCTTGCAGCATCCTCAAGCAGGTCAGCCCGATCCACAGAAAATCAAAGCTAGAAATAAAACACAATTTAAGATCCACTTTGTCAAAAAAACCAAGAATAACAGTAAAAATCATCTTAAGCTTAATCAGCAGGGAAGCTCCACATTGGCCAAGAGGCTAACCAGGTAGACACGAAACATCACCCCAATCTGCATAACCCAGGGGGCAGGTGAAGCTTCAGGGGACGCGGGTCCAAAGGCCCCTGGAGAAACGGAGATGATTTCCTGATGACCCTTGTAGAACCTGCCTTCTTAAGCGGATCAGTTGCAACTTGTGATATTGTAAACACGTGCCCATCTCCTTCTAGAATTGTTGTAAAAAATATGTTCCTTGTATAGGAAATGGTGGGGTCAGGACAGAACTCTGAAACAACCCAGAGGGAAAACCTGGCTATTCTCCTTCAGCACACGCCTGTAGGAACCAACTTAGATTGTCTCGAATCAGCCTGGTCTGATTTTGGCTACTGAGGCAGGCTCTCCCAGACCCCTTGCAGTCTGACCACCCAGTCAGGCCCAGAAACAAGTGTGGGGCAGCTGACCCATGGCCACAACTGCTCCCCAGGCACGAGTGAGCCCCCTCGCCAGGGCTCTGTGCCCTCTGTGGCTCACCTTGAGATTTAGGGCTCTGAAACTCTCTGCCCACAGTGAGGCCTTTGGAGCTCTGGTATAAAGGGTTGGAGAGATCACCGGCCAACTCTCTGGGTGCTATTGTGCTCTCAGGACTGACCTCGGCGGCCAGTCTAGGTCTGTAGGCTCCATCGTGAGCATCCTCCTAATCAGAGACACGGAGGCTCAGGTGCTGGCGCCAGAGCACTGCACAGAGCTAGGACGGAGTGTGCCTTCAGAGCCCAGGACTTATTTGATAGTTCAATCGGATGAAGATAAATGCCATCATCGCAATTTCAGAGCATCGGCTCCTTTCTTGACTCGTTAGCTCCATTTCCCCCTGAC